TTCAGCAGAGAAGATAAATCCGCCACCGTGCCGCTGGGCACGGAATGGGTGTCCTCAGGTCCTCTGCCTAATCCACCAAGCCTCAGTCCTCACTTCCGCGGGGTCCTTGAGGGGCCCGGAGCCCAACCTCTTACATCTCCTGGGCTCCTGGGAGCGTTGCCACGTGACTGTTTTGGGGGCTCAGGAGGGCCCCCAAGGCGGGCCCAGAGGGCCCCGAGAAGCCCTCGAGACGGCCCGAGAGGGCGCCGAGTCGCCGGAAGATCGGCCCAGTGCGCCCGAGATGGCCTCCACAGGGACCAAGAGGCCCCCAAGACGCCCCGAGGGCGTTCCAAGCGGCGCCCCAACAGGGCCCCAGGAGGCAAACGCCATTCACGTTCCTTACGTTTTTGAAAGACTTTGGCGTTCTCGCCTTCTCGGCGTCCCGACGCTCAGAGATGGCCCAGGACGCCCCCAAGATCGCCCCAAGGCAGCCCCAAAGGCCCCAAAGAGGGCCCCAGGCGAGGCCCCCCCGCGCCACGTTGGCGCCCACGTCGCCGAAGGCCCAAAAACAGCCGACGGGGCCCCCAGGCGGCCCCAAAAACGGCTCCAAAGGAGGTCCCAAATAGGGAGCCCGAGCGGAAATTTCGAGCCTTGCTCCGAGAGGCCCCCAGGAGGCCCCGAGGCCCCCCAAAAGGCAGCAAGAGGCCCCCCAAGGGGCCCCAAGAGGCCCCGAGTCGCCGGAAGGTTGTTCCAAGATGCCCAAGATGGTCTCAAGATGGCCCAAGAGGCCTCCAAGACGGCCCAAGAGGCCCCCAAGAGGTTCCCAAGAGGCCCCAAAACTGCCCCCAAGAGGCCGGAATGCGCTATGAAAAGACCCAAGAAGCATCCCTGAGAACTCTGGCCCACAACCCTGGCAAGGTGGCAGGATCGGACAAAAGCCAATAATATAGGTTAGAGAAGGTAGGTCGACCTTTGAGGGTATATAGGATAAGCGTTGTAGTAGCACGCGCACCAGTGTATGGATGTATGTCTATATGCCTGTATGTCTGTAAGTCTGTATGCCTGTATGTCTGTCTGTCTGTCTGTCTGTCTGTCTGTCTGTCTGCCTGTCTGTCTGCCTGTCTGTCTGTCTGTGTCTGTCTGTCTCTATCTGTATGTATGTATGTCTGTATGTGTATATAAATATATACAGAGAGAGAGAAAGAAAGAAAAACAAAAAGAGAGAGAGAGAGAGAGAGAGAGAGGGGGGGACCAGGCCGGTGCCTGTACCCTCCATGGGCGCCCTCTGGGGGGTCCCAAAGCTCTCGAGACGGCCCAGACCCGCCCCGAAAAGGGCCACGACAGGCTAAGGGGGTCCCAAGAGGGTCCAAGACGGTCCCAAGAGGCCCCGAAGACGCCCAAGATGCCCTCAAGACGGCCGAGGAGGACCCCAGCACGTCCTAGGACGGCCTCAAGAGGCTCCCCAAAAAGGTCCTGGGAGGCCAAAATCACACAGATAGTTATGTGTACACACATACATACATACATACATACATACATACATACATACATACATACATACATACATACATGCATGCATGCATACATACATACATACATACATACATACATACACACACAGACATACATACATACATACATACATACATACATACCTGCATACATACATACATACATACATACACACACACATACATACATACATACATACATACATACATACATACATACATACATACATACATACATACATACATATATATATATGTGTGTGTGTGTGTGTTTTCGGCAATGTTTCAAGGATTTTGGCGTTTCCCCTTTTCCCGCTTCCCAACGCTCCCTCACGGCCTCGGAGGCCCATCAGATCGCGCCAAGACGGGCAACGAAGCCCCGAAGAGGGCCCCAAGACGGCCCAGGAGTCCCGTAGGCCCCCGGAGGCCACCAAGAGGCTCCAAAGAGGCCCTCTGAGGCCCCCAAGAGGCCCCCAGGAAGCCCCAAGAGGCCTTCAATGGGCTTCCAGGGAACGCCCAAGAGGCCCCCCAACACACCCCAACAAATCATGTCCCCAGACAGCCTTCCAGGGACATGGTTCGTCATGGGCCCAAGAGTCTCCGGAGGCTACGAAGCACCACCACGCAGCCAGAGAGCTGACTGGGAAGTTGACTGTGAACATGACTGATTGCCTTCTCGGCCGACGTCTGCCGACAACGACGACGACGGCAGCGGCGGCGACGAAAACGACGACGAACTTCGACGTTCGACACGGCTGTTCGGCGCTTTCCGCCATCGGGGGGGCCGTTCTCGGGCCCTGGGGTCGTCGGGCTTCGATCTGGAGTGGGAGACAGCGCTGGGTGGATCCTGGGAGGGGTCTATCCGACGACGACGACGACGAAGACGAAACGACGAAGACGAGGACGACGACGACGACGCGCCCCAAGAGGCGACGACGACATCACGACGACGACGACGGCACGCCCCAACGGGCTCCTCAAGACGCCCCCAAAAACCATGCTCCCAGAAGACCTGCCGGGAACCCCATTCATCAGGCCTCAGCCCCCCTACGCAACGATCATCCCCCGAAGCCTTCCGGAATATGGATTGACGTGCATGGATTTCTCACTGCCCATTGTGCGTTCAGCGTTATGGACACTTCTTCACTTCCCGTTCAAACCATCTGTGGTCCACTACTTCAGTGGAGCAGTGAACCCGTCAAGGCCTCGGGCCTGCAAGATCCTAAGCGCGCGCGAAACTCGCGCGTGGTTCTAGTATGTATATATACATATACACACGAAAAACACCGGGAGAGAGAGAGAGAGAGAGAGCGAGAGAGAGAGAGGGTGGGAGACTGCTTAGAGAGCGATCGAAGGAAAACATTGAGGAATATAGTATATGCGGCCTTGGCTAAACACATAATACTGTAAGGTGGATGGGGAGGTCAGAGTGACAAGATCGTACGTAAAACGAGTACATTTCCGCGATCATATGGCGAAGTTGGTGAGGCAGAGAAAAACATTTAGAGAGAGAAGCAACACATATTTGTATTTTCGCACGTGTGCACATGAGGAATATGAGAAGTTGATGGTGCGCTTGGGGACAAGAGTGCAGAGCGAGGTGTGAGAGCATATGAAATAAACAAAGATAATGCGAATCTCCAGATGTACATGTAGATCTAAATATATAAGTGTATATCTACATATCTGTGCATATTGATTCAGCAGAAAAGAAAGATAGGCTGAATTATCCCCAGACGCCCGCTTGCTGGGGGTGAAAAGGCATGTGAGATGATTGGCACTCCCTGCCATTTTCTCCTCCCCGGGAGCCCAACATCTATAGTTTCAGGGTGAGGGGGTGGGGTGGTCCCTGGGCTCCTCGACGCATCCCTGGCGTCTCTGGGGCCTCTCCATCTGCAATCCGAGGCCTCCGGGGGGGGCCCCGAGGTGCCCCCCGGGACGGTCCGGGAGCGAGGGCCCCGCGTCGCCGAAGCATCGATCCAGGACGCCGCACGTGGCCTCGAGACGGCGCAGGACGACCCGAAGACCCCATGGAGGCCTCCGGCGCCGCTCCAGAACGGGCTCCGGGAGGCAGCACTCGTGCAGGTTCCTGAGGGGGGGTGAAAGAGTTGTGCGTTCTCGCCTTGTCGACTTTTGGTCGCTCCCAGGCGGCCTAAGATGCCCCCAGGGTGCCCCAAGAGGCCTCCCAGAGGGCCCCCAAACAGCCCAAGAGGCCTCCAAGACGGCCCCAGCAGCCCCCAAGACGGCCAAAGATAGCCCCAAGAGGCGCCCCTGAAGGGGAATACGAACTGACACTTCGAGCCTTTCGCCCGAAGATAGCCCCACGAGCCCACCAGAGGCCCCTGAGGCGCCCCCAAAGAGGCACCAAGAAATTTCCGACAGGAATCCAAACGGCTCCCAAAAAGTCCAAAGACTCCTCCAGCAAAAACCAGATGTCCCTCAGAGCCCTCCATGAGGCCCCCGACGGGCATCCCAAGAGACCCGCCCCAAAGAACTTCTGAGCCACAGTCCACGCACGGTGACTGGTTGGGCAAATGAACCTGGCGCGACCCCACTTATGGGAAGGTCTGTTGCAAGGGCACATCGCTGGGCGCATCTCTTGGCATTGCTTGGCATTGTTTGGCAATGCTTGGCATTGCTTGGAACCTCTGGGGAACGGGCGAAGTAACAATAGGAGGCACCGCTGGCGGGGAACCCGAGGAACCCGAGTAACCTCCTAGGAACTGTGAAAATAACCATAGGAGGCACGGCACTGGGGGCGGGGAACCCGAAGAACCTGGGGAACCGCCAAATTGGGTAAATAGGAGGCACCGGGGGCGGTGAACACGAGGAACTGGGGAAACCCGAGGAACCTCTGGGGCACGAGCAATAGGAGGCCAACGAGTAGCAGGAGCGGCAGTAGGAGGAAATAGGCCATGTAGCGACGATGAGGAAGAGGACAAACAATCACAAGACTGAGGAGACAGGGCTATGTACGGATGAGGGATCCGACAGGCGGGATCCTGGATGCGCCGACAAAGTACAGTGGGGGGGGTGGAAGAGAGGGCGCAAGGCTTTGGTGGCAACTCATGGGGCCTCTCGTATCATCTTGTCGGCTCCTGCGAATCGACGCTGACCGACGCTAACTCGACGCTACATCGACGCTAATCGACCCTAACCGACGCTAAGTCGGCGCTGACTCATCCACTCCCAGACGCTAATCGACGCTGATCGACGCCAAAGACGGAATCAAGAGGGGGAGTACCAGGGCTCCCATGATCTGCCACCGAGGTGGAAAAAGGCTGCCGACAGAGTAGGAGTGGGGATTGGAGGAGAGGGCGCACGGCCACGAGCGCATCCATAGGGGCCGCAGCAGGGCACGAGCGGCACAGGATGGCGGGGAGGAGGAGGAGGAGGAGGAGGAGGAGGAGGAGGAGGAGGAGGAGGAGGAGGAGGATGAGGATGAGGAGGAGGAGGAGGAGGGAGGAGAGGGCGCAAGGCCACGAGTGCATCGATTCGACCCCCCACGACCTGGGGGCCGCACCGGGGCACCAGCGGCACAGGAGCGTCACTTCCTCTTGGCCGGGACACGGGCCGGGGGCCCGGAGCCAATGCAAATAGCCTTCGCTTCTGCAGAGCAGCGCCAGCCGTTTCCTTTGAGCATTTGCACGGTCTGCCGGACGCGACTTGTATGCGCTGCTGCTCTGTGAACGTTCTCTTATTGGGCGTTTCGACATTGGTCGGCGATGGACAAACCTCCCTTTAGTAAACCTCCCCCTGGTGGAAACGGCCTGGGACCGAAACCGACGGACCTGGACCCGCAAAAATGGCGGCCGCGACGCCCTCTCGCGAACCGAAAACGGCCAATTCGCTAATCGACGTGACAGGGTAGGAGGTCTATCCACCCCGGACGTTTCCTTTGAGCATTTGCACAGTCTGCCAAACGCGACTTGTATGCGCGGCTGCTCTGTGAACGTCTTCTTATTGGGCGTTTCGTAATTGGGCGGAAGGGGGGAGGGGAGGCAGGGCTGAACCTAAACGGTGTTTCTCGTTTTTGTTTTGTTATCGTTTTCTCTCGTCTTGTCTTCAATCCGCCTTTAACGCAAAACGACATCGACACGAACACGGCCCACGAAATCGCGAAAACACCGTTTGGATCCACCCCCGAGGGGAGGGGGGCGACTGGCTCTGGACCTCTGCTTATAGTGCGACTGTTCGCAACAGTGCGTCCTGTGAGGGAGGCTCCACCTGCCTGAAACCAGGCGCCAAAAGCAGCCAAGATCTACTCCACGGGGGGATGGGGAGGGAACGAGGGCCCGCGCCGATCAGCAAAACGGGGAATAGGAAAACGATCACCTGCAATCTCGGCACCCTGGGATGTTTCAGAATGCGTGAACTGCCTGGCCACACGCATGTCATTCCCTAAGGGCGCTCCCTTCCCGGAAAGCCACCAAATGCCTAGGACCAGGGCAGAACAGCTTGACCTAGCCGACCAAGCCGACATTTGGACCCGCCTTTCCCTTACCTCAAGAGATGAACCGCACATGGCATATAGATATACTTTACATGGGCCAACGCCGACACAAGAAATCCGCGAATGCTCCCGAAGCGGCATTGTCATGCCGATGATTACCCTTCGACTCTGAAAAAAACATAGAGGCCAAACACACCACCCTCATACTTAGCACACCAAACGCGTCTGAGACAGTAACCGGACAAGGCAAGATCATTCAGTCAACGACCAAGCCTGTTAAACAAACGCCAACTGTGGGGCTACGGCGGTGCCCACTCTTGACAAATTAAACCAAAACAGGCTGTGCCCCTAACGTTGCTTTTGAAGATTTTCGTGCCGTCGTTCACTCGAACCTCCGGATGCCCGTCAGGACGATCCGGGCACCCCCAGAACGCTCTGAGAGGCGCATGCGCATGAGAGCATCCCGAGGCTGGAAAACCGCCGAGAAAGGACACACATGCTCCCCCCTGAGCCCGTCGTCCCCTAGCATCGCCCCGGGAACAACTTGGCGGCGCCCACAACGGCGTGGCGCCAGGGGGGGCTGCTAAGAAGGCGGCGCGGCTTCTCAGAAGGCACCAGGGCTTCTTAGAAGCCCACCCAGCTTCTAAGACGCACCAGAACCCTCTCAGGCGGCCCGTGTCTTCTAAGAAAGCCTCTGCCCTCGCGCCACTCCTTTGTGGGCTGCTGCGAAACAACCAAAACGAAGGGTCCCAAGACCGTGTGGTGACAGACCGCGTTGTGACCTCGGAATCCCCAGCGGACGGCCTCGGAACCCGGGAAGGCCCCACCGCCTCCGAGCCGTCCTCGGAGAACGACCCGGGCCCCAAAACCGTGCGGCCACCCCGAACCCCCCCACGGACTCACCATACGCCGGCCCTCCTCCGAACGGCTGGTTTTTCCGGGCCACACCTCGATCGGGCCTCTCTGGCGGCCGCTCGGGACGAGGCGGGCGCCCCAGAGGACCGCCCTCGACGAGGCGCAGCTGCTGGGACGCCTCCTGGGGCCGGAGAACCGCCGAGAGCCGCCGCGAGCGCCCGAGACCTCGAGCGCCTCCCCGAAGCAGACGGCGCGGTCACCACACCGTTTTTGAGGGCCCCCGGCCAAGGCAGGCCGCGTCCTCGTGCCGGCGCAGCGCCTGGAACATGTGGGCGGCGGCGATGCGCGCGGCGGCCTCCAGCGACGCAGCGCACAGGAGGGGGCGCCCTGGGGAGCTGTCCGGGTGAAGGCACACGTCCGCCGGGTCGAGGTCCTGAGCGGCAAGGTTTAGGTCGGGCTTGTCCCCCTACTACAGGGAGATTTTGGAGGAAAACTTGAAATACCCCCAAAAAGACTTCCAAAATGCGAAAAAATGATCAACAAATCGTCCCCAGACTATTTTTTGACTATTTGTGAATATTCCCCCTGTAGAGGGACTGGCCCGACTTAAGGAAGGTGTGTGTGGGGGGGGAGCTGAACATCGAGCTGGAGTCGGCGATGCATCGCCGGCAGACTGGCGATAGGCTCCCGACGGCGAATCCGCACGGTCCTCCTATATGGGGCCTCTGTCGGCGATCGATGGGCGACTGGGGGTCGATGTGCCCCCCCCCCGGAGCCTATCCTCCCCGAGCGTTGCCCGACAATGGCTTTCGGGTCCTAACTCGGGTCCCCCGGGGGGGCCGTTCGGGGCGATCCGGGGCGCCCCTGGAACGCCCTCGGCGAGGCGCGGCCGCTGGCACGCACCCCGAAACCAGGAGCCCGCCGAGGACCGACGACAACCTCCGAAAACCTCGAACCTCGAGCCTCGAGCCCGAAAGTTCCCCCCCCCCCCCTCCCTCGCTCGCCGCCGAAGAGCAGGGGGCGGCGCGAGGGAGCGAGGGCGCTCGGAGATCCCCGCGCGCCGCGCAGGGCGGCGCCGCTAACGAACACTTCGAGCCTCGGAGCCGAAACTGTCCTCCGAGCCCGCCCCCCCTAAAGTTAGGTCGGGCATGTCCTCCTACAGGCGGGTTTTGCACGAAAAATACAACATGGGAGCAGCAGCCAAAAATAAGATACAAACGAGCGTAAATACTCAAAACATGGTCCCCAGACTATGGCTTAAGAATAAAAGCAGATAAAGAGCCGTGTTTGCATATCCCTCCTCTGGAGAGACAGGCCCGCCTGAACCCCAACGTGGGCCCCGAGGTCCAGGCAGGCCCTCCCGCGCCGCAACGCCTGGTCCAGGAGGCAGAAGGGCGACGGGCCCTGGGAGGCCGGGCTCGCCTCGGGGGGGTCGGAGCAGTGGATCGGCACGTGCAGCACCAGGACCTCGCCAGAGGGCCGACCGAGCGCCGGCGGGACTGGACTTTCGGGCGCCCAGGCCGCGCCAGATGGGGGGAGACGAACAATGACATGAAGGAAGGGGCCCTGGGGACACACAAATGAATACACACACAAATAATAGCATTCCCCATATTTGTCCATATTTGCTGGGTGTCTGTCTTCCCCCCCACTGCCCATAGTTTCCCATATTTTCTGGGGATCGACGATTAATTGTGTCTGTGTGTTTTTTCCCTCCTGAATAAAACATCAAAACCTCGGAGGTCCGCGCGGATTTCTCGGATCGGTGCTGAGGCCCCTTGGCGGCGCCTCCGGCCCCGACCCCGGCGCGCTGCGCGCGCCAGGGAGGGGGGTCCAGCGCGGATCCAAGAAATCCGCGCGGACCTCCGAGATGTTATATTTATCTCATTGTTTGTGTCCTGATATAGGGCGCCCAGGCAACGCCATATTAGCTCCCCCATGCTCGCGGTCACAGCCCCTTCCCCACACAGCGAGAGTTAGCCCGACAGTGAACCTTAAACCCTACCAAAAACGGTTGGGTGGGGTCGCGGCGGGTAGAGGCAGCGGACGCGGGCGTGCACCCCCCCGATGTTGCTCAACAAAGGGGGGGGGAGCACGCGGGAAAAGTGGATAGGGGATGTGTGCCGGGGGACGCCCGCCCCGCGGCCTTCTGCTGACAAGAACTGCTCTCGCCCGAAGAAGCACCGGCTGCGGCAGACCTGGTCCAGTGATCCTGGCCAACTCTTTGGGCCGCGAGGCCCACTTGCTGGCCCGCTCTACTGGTCCTGGCTCTATCCGACAGAATGGCTTCTCTGTAGGCCCCGCCATTCATGGACGAACGAAGACTTTGATCACCGTCCATCTTGGTCATCGAGATCTCGTCTAATTACCGTGCCCGCGAATCGGCGACGGCCAACATCGACCGAGACCAAGATCGGCGTCGACGAGATCCCGCGACATCTTGGTCAAGGTCATCCTGGTTCTTCCCTGGATTGTTTCACTGGAAGCAGGAAGATACCCGCCCTCTTCGTCTTCGGTCGCACCCCCTTGGGGGCATATATCTTTCTTACCTGCAACGTGTATTTCGTGCAGCCCCTAGAAAACAGGGCAAGAGAGGACGAATGGACGGAAGGGTCAAAGGAGAGGGCGGAGGATGGAGCACGAGGAAGAAGAGCAGGAGAGGGGCTAGGAACAGAAAACACGTGGCAGAACCGAGCATGCAGATCGGGCGGGTAGACCCTAGAGGTTGGGTCGGAAGGCGGGCCTAGGCGGCAAGGTCGAGCAGGCGGGTTGCTGAAGCGTGCGTCCTGCATGAATCGAACGAAACCGCGATGCCCAAGTAAATCGTGAGAAATCCACGGTGAGAGCGTGATTCCTGAGTGTCGAGGGCGCGGCGTCAAAATAAATTAAGAAGACGTTCCACGCGAGAGCGCGATTCCTGTAGAAATTGTGAAGATCCCCCGCGCGAGAGCGCTATTTGGGAATACATTGTGAGGAAGTATCATGCGGGAGTCGTTGTCGTTGTTATTGTATTGTTGTCGTTGTCATTGTCGTTGCCGTTGTCGTTGTCGTTGTCGTTGTTGTTGCTGTTGTTGTTGTTGTTGTTGTTGTTCGGGGCCCAACAACGCAGTTTGGCGGCCCCCCACTTTCCCTTGTGAAACACAGAGTGCGAGCCTTGGAAGATACACTTCAATGAACAACTACAATGGTTACCGAGAAATTGTGTGGGGGTCATCAGTAACTATCTGTTGTACATGAGAACTCAACAACAAAACCACCAAAACCAGAAGCAGCAACAATAACAGAAACAGCAACCACCAATCACAACAGCACAAACAACACCATCAACAATCTTATCAAGACTCTTCGCTCCTTTCTGCTCACGTGCCATTCAACACGTGTACCCCGAACCCTCGATACCCGCCCTCTTCGTTTTCGATCGATACCCCCTTGGGGGATGCATATTTCTTACCTGCAACATGTACTTCGTGCTTCCCCGAAGGCAGGGGAAGAGAGGACGGATAGAAGAAAGGGACAAGGGGCAGGTGTGTTGCTGAAGAGTGCGTCCTGCATGCATCGCGAGGAAATCTCGAACGGTAGCACGATTCCAAAATAAATCGCCAAGACATCCACAGCGAGAGCGTTGGCGTCTGAATCAATGGTGAAGACGTCCCACGCGAGAACGCGATTCCTGTAAACCTTGCGAAAAAGATCCGCGCGAGAACGCGAATTCGGAATACCCTGTGAGGAAGTTGCGGGCGGGAACAGTTACTGTTGTTGTTGATGCTGTTCGGGGCCCACCAATTCAATTTTGTACCCTCGCTCTGACTTGTAAGCAAACGAGGTGCGAGCCACGGGAGCAACATCTTAAGTGACACATTGAATGGTTTAGCGAGGGAGGACCAGCCATAACAGTTCTTCAGAACTGAGAGCCTGGCAACAACAATCAATTTACGGCTGTTCGTTGTCATCTGCTCGCGTGCCATTCAACACGCGAATCCCACACCCTCGATACCCGCCCTCTTCGTCTTCGATCGAGTCCCCTTGGGGGGATACATCTTTCTTACCTGCAACATGTTTTCCGTGCAGCTCCTAGGCAGGGGAAGAGAGGACGGATAGAAGGAAGAGACAAGGGGGAGGGAAACGGATGAAGCACGAGAGAGAATAGCAAGGGAGGGGCTAAGAACAGAAACCACGTGGCAGAACCAGACGGGCAGATCGGGCGGGTAGACCCTAACGGGCGGGTCGGAAGGCGGGCCTAGGCGGCCAGGTCGAACAGGCGGGTTGCTGAAGCGTGAATCCTGCATGAAACGCGAAGACATCTAGAGCGATAGCGCGAGTCCTAAATAAATCATGAAACATCCACAGCGAGAGCGTGACCCTGAGTGTCGAGGGCGAGGCGTCTGAATGATTTGAACCCGCGCAAGAACGCGATTCCTGAATAAAGTGTGAGGATCTCCCGCGCAAGAGCGAGATTTGGGAATCCATTGTGAGGAAGTATCAGGCGGGAGCCGTTTTTGTTGCTGTGATTCGGAGCCCAACAACGCAATTCGGCGACCCCTCACTTTTCCTTGTAAAACACAGGGTGTGAGCCTCGGAAGAAACACTGCAATTAAAAACTACAATGGTTACCGGAATGGGGGGATCAACAACAAATGTGCTGCTTTGGCATGACAAGTCATCAACAACACCATCAGCAGCAGCAACAACAGCAGCAACAACACTAAGACCAGCACTAACAACAACACCACCGACAACAACAACAATAGGAATTTGTCAGGGAGTCCCGCGCGAGAACGCGATTTGGGAATACACTGTGTGGAAATATCCGGCGGGAACCGTTGTTGTTGTAAATGGGGGCAAGGGGTATCGTTTGATGACACATCACGCTCCCATGTAACAAGCAGGATGATAGCCCCGGGGGGAGGCCCTGTCATTGAAAGTTGCAACGGTTCCCGGCAGGGGGGACCAACAACACATATGGTTTAGACATGAGAGCTCAACAACAGCAACAACACCAACGACAACAGCAAACATAGCAACACCAACAACACCACCAGCAGCAGCAATAACAACAGCAGCAACAATCATTTTCAGACTGCTCGCCCTTGTCTGCTCGCGTGCCATTGAACACGTATGTCTATCCCCAGGCCCTGGCTGCCCGCCCTCTGCGCCTTCGAACGCACCCCCTGGTGGTATATCCTCCTTATCTGCCACACGCATGTAGCGCAGCCCCAACATCGGCGGTGGAAAAAAACCTCCCTTTGGGCAAACCTCCCCTCAAGGAAAACGGCCTGGGACCGAAACCGACTGACCTGGACCCGCAGAAAGACGGCCGCGACGCCCTCTCGCGAACCGAAACCGGCCACTTCCTTAAGCGACGTGTCAGGGTAGGAGGTCTGTTCGCCCCCGGCAGAGACGGGGGAGGAGAGGACGGATGGAAGGAGGAGGGAGAAGCGTGGAGGGAGGGAAGGATGGAAGGAGGAGGGAGAAGCGTGGAGGAGGAGGAGAGGACGAATGGAAGGAGGAGGGAGAAGGGTGGAGCACGAGAGCGAGTAGCAAGAGGGGGGCTGAGAGCCTTCGTCTCCGACACCAGCCCTCGTCGTCTTCCATCGCCCCCCCCCCCCCCCTGGGGGCATATACCTCTTTCGTACCTGCAGCGTGCACGTCGTGCAGCCCCTGGAAAACAGGGCAAGAGAGGGCGGGTGGGCGGAAGGGTCAGAGGGGAGGGCGGAGGATGGAGCACGAGAGCGAGTAGCAGGAGGGGGGCTAAGAGCCCCAACAAAAACAGGGGAGGAGAGGACGGAAGGAAGGAGGAGGGCGAAGGATGGAGCGCGAGAGGGAGTAGCGGGAGGGGGGCTGAGAGCCCCAAACCACGCGGCAGAACTGGACGGGCAGATCGGGCGGGCAGACCCATAGCGGGCGGGTTTGGGGATGCCGGCCCCGGCGGCGAGGTCGAGCGGGCGGGCTGCTGCAGCGTGCGTCCTGCACGAATGGCGGGGACGTCTCGAGCGATAGCGCGATTCCCAAGTAAATCGTGAGAAACGCCACAACGAGAGGGTGCGGCGTCTGAATAAAATGTCAGGGAAGTCCCACGCGAGAGCGCGACTCCTGCATACATCGAAAGGAAGTCCCCGCGAGAGAGGCGCGCTTTGGGAATACATTGTGTGGAAATGTCAGGCGAGAGCCGACGCGCCAAGACGGCCCAAGGGGCCCCCAAGATCGCCCCGAGACGGCCCAAGAGGCCCCCTAAGAGTCCCCTAACGGCCGAAGAGGGCCCCAAGACGGCCCAAGACGCAACCAAGACGGCCCAAGAGGCCCCCAAGACGCCTCCTGTGAGCCTCTTGGGGCCTTCGGCCCCAAGAGGCTCACAGGAGGCCCCAAGAGGTTCCCCAGAGGCCCCAAGACGCCCACGAGAGGTCAGGAAGCCCGAAGAGGCCCCAAAGAGGCTCCCAAGAGTTCCCCAAGAGTCTCCCAAGAGGCCCCACATTTCCTACATGTTCCTGCCCAGAGGCCCCGGAGAGACTTCCGAAGAGATCCCAAGAACCAGCCCTGAGGATTCTGGCCCACGTCAGCGTCGTCGTCGTGGCCGCCGCCGCCGTTGTCGTCGTCGTCGTCGTCGTCGTCGTCATCGTCGTTCTCGTCTCCCTTCAGGGTCGGCGGCCCCGGCCGTAAGGCCTTCGCATTATCAGGCGGGAGCCGTTGTTGTTATAACTCGGGGGCCAGGGGCACAATTTGATGACCCCTCATTTCCCTTACAAAAACCGGGTGCGAGCCCTGGGAGGAACGCTTGAATTAAAACGACATAATGGTTACGCGGCAGGGGGGGATCAACAATCACCATTCTTCAAAACAGAGAGTTCAGTAAACAAAAACAGCAGCAACACTTACGACAACAGCAGCAGCAGCAGCAACAACATCAACGACAACGAGACCGACAACGACGACAAGAACGACAACACCAAGAACAACACCACTACCAACCCGTAACAATCATACATATATTGCCTCGATGGAACGGGGTCCTGAGAGAACAGAGTGCTGGAGATCCCAGGGGCTTTCCCGGATACTAGCCTTTCATCCCGAGGCGTCTTCGACGAACCTAGAGCCCAGCAAGGACCATGGGAGGGGCGCACATGACTCAGGAGATGCCATGATCTCTTTCCCTCGAGCTCTCTTTTGTTCACAGCGAGGAGGAGGGCACCTCGGCCCGAAACTCCGCCCCAGGCTGCTGGCTCTGCAGCCAGCGCAGCTGCACGGGGTCGGAGGTTGCCGGCGGGTAGTCGCCGAAAGCGCTCAGGCCGCGGCAAGGCGGCCTGCGGGGAGCTGGAAGCACACCCCTGCCTCTGCGTGGGCACATCCTATCTCGAGGGCAGGCAGGGCAGTCGGGAGGGGGGTGGGGGAGGGTACCCAGCTCCAGGACGAGGAGGCGGACAAGAGGGGGTAGAAGGAGGACGACGGCACGAGGATGAGATCTAGCGGCGGAGTCTGCCCCCTTCCCCGCCCAGGCACCCATCGGTTCGTCGAGCTAGGGTCTCGTGCCTTCGCCCGGAGCATACAGCGGAGGCCAGTACACAAGAAACCTTCCACGAGAAGCCCAACCCTGAGATTCCAGGACGTCCATGGATTTTTGGTGTGGGAGCGTCAGGCTTTCCATAGCAAAGCCATCGAGGCCCAGGACACCCAGGGCACCCTGGAGGCAGGCAGGATGCCTCTTGGCATGGGCCTCCACTGCAGCCTACACCTCTGGTGGGCCGTCGCCTCTCGTGCTTGCGAGAGCCTACCCCCCGAGCATATGCCGGTCCCTTGAGGGGGGGGGCACCAGGCTGTGAGGCTCGGGTGCTCCCCTGCTCCATGCGACAACTCCGGTCCACATTGTCGTAACTTGTCGTAGTGTTTGGAGTCAGGTCGGGCGTGTCCCCCTACAGGAAGGTTTTAGACGTAAAATAAAGCATACATCCAAAATGCACAAAACATGCCCCAACAGGCTACAGAAATAGTACCCAGACAATTGTTTGACTATTTGTGAATATTCCCCCTGCAGAGGGACAGGCCCGACTTACGTTTAGAGGCCTCCCAGATGGGGTCCGAGTAGATGGGGTCGGAGGATCGCGCCGCATCGGCGACGCACCAGCGATACATCGCCGACGCATCGGCGATGCATCGGCGACGTCGACGAGGCATCGGCACCATCGGGGTGGAGAAAATCTGGCTCCACATCGAGCCGCATCGCCGATGCATCGGCGATGCGGCGCGATCCTCCGACACCATCTACTCGGACCCCATCTAGGAGGCCTAGAAAGTTGTGAGCGTAAATGACTCAAGTGGGGAGCGCGCGAAGTTTTTTGTACAGTCAACCCATTGATAAACATTCGCGGTAAGGATGCAACGGCCTCGGACGCCCATGCCGAGCCTCTTCGAGCGGGGCTGGTCGTCGGAAGTAGCTGAGGATGGACCGAGGATGACCTAAGAGGCAAGGATGCAAGGGCACTCCTGGGAAATCGATCGTCCTTCCTATCAGGGTTGACTGCCATCGTAGGTGACTGAAGCGGCTCCCAATGGTGTGATTGTTGAGAATTGTAAAATGGCCGAATAATCGAGATTGATGTAAATTGTGAATCGTAAAATGTACTTGTAAAATGTAAAAGTGATTGCTGTAAACTTGTAAATGGTGATTGTTCCGCGCAACGCCCCTTCTCCGCATCGGGATCACGCCCTCAGAACCGATGCGGGTGCCCCAAGGCTGCCAGCAGTACGGCGCGCTCGCGCCCTCGAGGCCACAAGCCCTCCGGAGATCACGCCGCGCTCGCGCTCCCGAGGCCAAAACTCCACCTTTTGATTCCTTCGGATTCGCGCTCACGAAGCCACAACCCATTTCGCGCACCCGAAACACCGACCCCTTTTACATCACGGCGTACTCGCGATCCCGAGGCCACAATCTCGTGTACGTGGCCGCGCTTGCACTCTCCCGAGGCCCATCCCTCGCCAGTTACGCCACACTCGTGCACTCGAGGCCACACTCCTGTGTACATTACGTCAGAATCGTACTCCTGAGCTCACAACCCATCACACAATATGATGCTTCCGCACTCCCGCCTTCGCGCTTCCGGGGCCACAACCGGAAGCAAATTACGACAGGCTCGCGCTTCTCAGGCCGCATTCCAGAGTGCATTGCGGCGCGCTCGCGCTCCCGAGGTCACAATCCATGATATGGTATAGCGAACTCGTGCCCCCAATGCCCAAACCCAGCGCGAATTGCCACGAACCCGTGCTTCCGAGGTCACAACCCCTTGCAACTTACGTCACACTCGCGCTCCCGAAGCCACAATCCCAAAGACATTACTACACTTTCGAGCTCCTGAGGCCACCATCCATTATAACATAACGTACAACAATGTTGCGCTCCCGAGGCAACAATCCCTTTGCAAGGTATGGCCGGTTCGCACTCCCAAGAGAGGCTCAGGCGAGAAAAACTGCCATTGCCTGTGATGGGATGTGTGTTCGGGGGGAGGGCGGGGGCGCTTTTCTGAGGGGCAACGATAGGGGGGGGACTGGCATAGCGGGGGATGCATCGACCTGGAATCGGCGATACAACGCCGATAGACAGGCGATAGGCCTTCGATAGTGAATCCGCACCGCACCTTCATGGGCAGGTTGGGGCTATCGGGCCCCCATCGGGCCCCTATCGGCGATCAATGGGCGATTGGGGGTCGGTATATCCCCTTCGAGCCTATCCCCCCTATCGTTGCCCCCGATGTTCGCTCCCGTCGCCCCCCCCCCAAATCATTTCCTGAAAATTCGGCCCTGTACCTGAGGGTTGCGCGCTCCAGGTGCCGCGAACCACTACAAATTCCACCATGGAAGCGCGCTCCCGAGGTCACCATCTCCCGTCAGTTCCTACAAGACAAATGCGCACAACCAGCCGGCCAGCAACCAGCCCAAACCGACTGCCAACCATTCATTCAGACATCGAGCCGACCAACCATGCCAGCCAAGACAAGCCTACGAATCAACGATCGACCCAATCGGACACGCGTGGCCATGCAAGCAGTCAGAGGGTGGGTCGGCGGCTGAGGGCGAAACTATTCAGATAATGCTCACTGTACTGTGTGCGGCTGCGGTTGCGAACATACTTTCATGATCATAATTCTGTCCCAACTGTTGAAGAGGAACGTTAGGTTCAGGGTCAGACTCACCGAGCTAAACCCGGCGATACAACAACGATAGATCGGCGATAGGCCGTCGGTAGCGAAACATCACGTTCCCAACCGTGGAGGGCTATCGGGCCACTGTCAGGATCTAATTGGCGATTGGGAGGCCGATGCATCCCCCCTGCGCCTATCCCCCCTCAACGTTGCCCCTGAGGTTTTCAGGCCATAACTAAGAAGTCTTCGGCGGCCGTTCGGGACGATCCGAGCACCCCCGCAACGTTTTCGGCGAGGCGCAGCCACTGGTACGCACCCCGAGGCTGGGAAACCGCCGAGAGCCGACAAAAACGCTCGAAAACCTCGAACCTCGAAGCCTCGCCTCCTCCCAAGCCTACCACCCCCCCCCTTACAGTGCCCCTGGGATGTGCGCCCTCGGTTGCCCGGCCTCGGCCAGCCATCGGCGCGACCGACACGAAGCACGGTGGCCGCCGTGCCGCGCTCCTCGGAGCTCGGCTGTGGGGCGCGGCTCCCGGCGGCACCCGCGCCGAAGAGCGGGGCGCCCAAGTGGAGCGACTCGCCCCGGAAGGGGGCGACGGCCAGGCCGGCGGTGGTGGTCTGCCAGGCCCCGTAGAACCTCCAGCTAAAAGCGCTGCACAGCCGGCCCTGGGCGCGCACCACCTCGGGAAGCAACTCCTGGGAGGCTCTCGTGAGCACGGTCGAGGACGATGATTGAGCCCGATGGAGGTGCCACAAAGCCGGATTAGTCCAGCTGAAACGCCCAGGATTTAGCGGGAGCGAGGGGGATGGGAGAGAACAGTGCCAGATGAGTATTGTTTCCGACCGCGGATATACCAGCGCCGACGATGAACGCTGAACCTCCCAGGAGTTGCACCCTCAACGACCTTCTGGGGCACCAGCGACTGGAACATCATCAGAGCGGCGAGCCGCCTGTTCGACAGGCTCCACAGCTGCCCGTCGAACACGCACACGTCCAGGGGCTCGTCCAGGTCCTCTGGCGCGGTCAGGCTGACGTCGCGGCGGGGGTGCCACGTGGCCAGCAGGTCCCGCACCAGGGCATAGACTGAGGCCTCGCCGCGGGCGCCGTCGCGGTCGAATGCCCGCTTGAACGTCATGTTCCTGTTGACCTCGTCGTGAGTCCAGCGTAGCGCCAAAACTGGCACCATCACCTGACTTGCGTTGAGCCCAGGGCGAAGTGAGACGGGGTGGCCCTTCCTCACAAGGCGGCGGGGCGGGGCTCTCAGAGGCCCTCGCACCTCCTAAACAAGTGGTCCAAAACCTTCTCCGAAAACAGAGATACCTTCTCAGCAGGCCAGGGGGTTTAGGAGAAGCCCCGCCACCTCCTGGAGAGGCCTGCCCCCTCTCACTTCCCCCATGGGCTCGCCACCGACTGAAAGAAAACAGATCATGACCCTCCAGCACGACAACATTGATGGGGGCGATAGGAGGTTCATAGTTGGAAGAAAATCGTGATCGCCCCAGGAACATGTTCATGAGAGGCACATTGCGAGAACGCGCCGGGACACTGTGTGCACGAGGACTGGTTGAAACCATCCAGGCCGACAAGGAAGTAGGGACGTATGTGGTCTAGGGGCGGTTTCTCTTCTACCCACTCCTTCCCCTTCGGGGAGGGGTCTACCCCTCGACCTGGAGGGCGGTTTCGAAACTGCTAGAAAGTTCTTTTGGGCCCACGATGGCTCCAAGAGCGCCTCAGAACGCCCAAGATGACCTCCAGGATGGCTGAATAGAGCTCAAGCTGGCTCAATATGGTCTCCAGCATGCTCCAAGATGCCCAAAGACCGTTCCAAGACGGTTCCGAATTGCCACGGACCCTTCCACGGAGGCCCCCGATAGGCCAACATGCGACGGAAACCTTTTTGAAAATCTGTGAATTGTGTTTTCTCGCCTCTCTTGCGTTCGATGGCCTCCCGAGGCCCCAAAATGGCTCCAGGAGGCCCAGGAGAGCCCCAAGAGCGCCCACGAGCGCTCCAAGAGGGGCCCCAGAGGCGATGTTGGGGGTTTCCGAGGGGGGGGCTAATCGAGGAACCCCCTTTCTGTGCTCGAGCTCTTCTAAAATTGATCCATGAGGGCTTATCCGACTCCCAAAACAGCTCCAAGAGGCTCCCGAACAAAAAAAAACCCAAGAATCCCATGAGCGGCCCCCGAGAAAAAAAGGTCCCCGAGAGGCCCCCAGCGGCATACAACCAAGAGGCTCGCAAGACCGCCAGGAGGCCCCTCAAACGCCCCAAGAGGCCTCGAGAAAACCCCCGATCATGTCTGGATGGGCTGGTGGGGATGTTTTTTTGGTCGCGGGCAGACGCGTGAAGCTGTCGCCGAGAGGGGGGTCCGGGGCACGGGCCAGCCTGATTAGCTACTGAGCGACGCGCAAGACGGCCGGGCCAGCACTCAGGAGCGGCGGCTGAGGGGCTGCTGCTGCTGGTGGAACTGGCAGGGTGGTCTGCAGCTGGTGGGGATGCGCGAAGCGACAGGAAATTATGTTTTCGAGCCTTGCCCCCTCTGTCCTTACTCCGCACACCTTCCTCCTCACCCCGATAACTCCCTCCACCGTCCCCATTCCTCTGTGATGCATCCTCCGTCCTCCTCGTCATCGTCGTCATCCTCTTTTTATTCGTCCGCCTCCACCCACTCCTCCTCTGCCTTCGTCTCCGTCATGGTCCCTCCCCATCCACCCCTGCTTATTCCTCCTCGTCGTTGTCGTCGTTTTTGTTCCTCCTCCGCCTCGCTCTCTCGCAACTCTCTTTCATCATTTTTCTTCCACCTCCTCCATGTTCCACATTCCCTGGTGCGGAGCATGACGACGAGAATTCGGATCGGGAGAACGATGCAGCGCCGGGAATAACACGACTCGGGGGATGGGCACGGCCAGCACTACTATCAGGAAGGGGGGGAGATGAGGAGCGTTTGTGAACCTCCACCCCAACCAACAGCGCGCAAAACGCCGCAACCCACGCGCAACCCGGCAGGAACGTTCCCTGCGCAGCCAAATTCGGAGGGAGGGCCAGAGAGGAAGGAAAACAAGGGACAAGACCGCCTAGCCAGCCCTCTGCGTGGTCAGCCCTGTGCGCGCGAACAACTCCTGCCCGCCCGCCGCGCCGCCGAACCCGCGAGCGGTCGCCGACCGCCGCCTTCGAGCAGGCCGCCCGCCGGTGCTCCAAGCCGACATGACTATCCTCCGCCTCACATGCGAAGCCGCGCGCGGCGAGCGCCGGCTATAGCGGCGGCCCCTGCCCAACCGCGGCGCGCATGGGCTCAGCTGGCCGGCGCGCGCCCGCAGCCGCGTCTCGCGCTCCTAGGGCCTGGCCGCCGCTGCACCAGCCGTCGCCGCTGGCAGCCCAGCCTCGCGGCCCCGAAGGAACCGAGCGGGGAGAACGGCCGGGCGCCGCTCCAGGCTTGCTGGTTAAGCGGCTGAGACCGCCAGAGGCCCGGAAGGCGCTGCCGGGCCTCCCAGGGCTCGGAACTGGGCCACTCTGCAAAGTCAGTGACTTTCATGGAGATGAGACCAACGGCATCTTGGGGGCCCTTCGCCAGGCCAGCCTCCATGCGGCCCGCGAAGGGGCAGGCGTACCTGGCCATCTCGTAGCGCGCAGTGGCCAGGAGGAAGTCCGTCTCCCTGGCCCTGCCCACGCCCCCCCCCCCCCCTCCCCTGTTTGGTGCGGTAGGCGGCCTGGCGATTGCCGAGCGGATCAGTCGCTGAAATTCTGCTGCCGCGGACCGCCTGCGCGCCGGGGTGCGGCTCCTGTTATTCTGACCACCTGTCGTAGATGCCCAAGCATAAGTGCCCCTTTCGCAGCCTGTGGCCTCGCCGCCCAGCGAGGCGCTCTGTCGCCAGCCACCGTGGCCCAACCACCAATCACCAGTACGCAGGCGCCCAGGATGCACCGCGCTGCCTGGGCCGACGCGAAATCCTGGCCGTCGCGGGCCGAATGCGCGGGCGCTTGCGACGGCGGGGCTCCCAAGCCTCCGCCACGATGGCGCCTTGAGCGTCGAGCGCCACCGCGCGCCAGCCCGCCGCGCGAAGCGTCGGCATCTCGGCGCGCATGCAGCTGGCATCCGCGCGGGCCCGCCACCCGACATCAGCCGCCATCTCGTTTGGCGGCCAATTGCGGACATGCCGCGCCCACTCAGGCTGCCAGGGCGGGAGCTGCAAGGCGCCCAAGGGTTCGGAAAAGCACCCTTGCGCCAGCAGCTCCGTCCAAGGCTCTCTGCGCCTCTCCAGGAGAAGTAGCCGCGGCCAGCATCTCGGGCGGCGCGTCCTGCCTCCACCGCGCAATCGCATCGAAGCGGAATCGCCTGTGAAATAGATTCACGTGCCGCTCTGGATCGCTCGAACTCTGGCGCGACGTCGGGCAGCCGGAAGCCAGCCTCGCCTGCGAGCAGACGCCCCCGGCCTGCAGCCAGAGGCAGGACTTGCGGAGTCCCCGGAGCTTCTCTGCGGGCGCGTGGCAACACCCGCGTGCATCGAGCATCGGGCTATTCGACGCAGTTCGAACAAAAAAACACGAAGGGCGGCTTAGCTACTCAGCATTGCTCAGAAGCGCGGGCCACTTCCACTGCTCCAGCCGATCAAGGTGCACGCCTCGACGAGTGGGGATCTTGACATCACGTGGATTAGACGGGGCTCGACTCTGCTGGCTGCCGCATCGCTCGCAACCCCTGCAAAACCACGCGATATTCTCAAGCAGCTATCGCATCGCATGTGTCGGATCGACCCAACCCCCAGCTGCATGGGGCCGCCCGCCCCCCCGAGGGATTGCTGCGCATTTGCTATCGAGGGTCGCGGGCTGGAAGCAATCCGACTTCCACCAGTCTGTCTGGGCGGCGAGAGTAGCCGACCCCTCGCGCCGAAGACAACGCCTGCGATCGTCGCTCAGGCTAGGGGACGGGGGGGGGGCTAGAAGAGGCGAGGGAGGAAGGGGCGGGGGGAGTGCGGGGAGGAGAAGGACCCTTGCTCCTCGCGGCGCCGTTCCCGCCCCGCTCCTCGGCCTCAAACCCATTCGGCGTGGCGCGCGCGAGGCGGTGGCGGACGAGGACGGCCGTCTTCTCGGCCTGATGCGCCCGCGACCGCGCCCCGTCGGGAACGCGGGCGCGGTGGGCCGCCTCCGCGGCCGCCGAACCAGCGGCGACATATTGCCCTGGACAAATCCAGGACGGGGCCCCACTGGCAACTGCCTCCTCTGCCGAGACATGAGAGTCGAAAAGGGGAACGGACAGCTGGGCACGACAATCGTGCAACTTGTCCGCCAAGGATAGCCGCGGGTCAGCGCGCGGCCCAGCGAGCCGCTCGCGCATTCCAGAACGCATTCCCTGGGCCACGGCTACGTCGCCAGTGACGCAACAGACAAATGCACGGGTGCACTCGACAGCCGACAATAGTGCTCTGAGTTCCCCTTGAGGAACGGGCTGGGCCTTGCCCGCCAGGGCCCCGCTCGCCGACGATCGGGCGCGGCAAGGCTTGAACGAACCGAATCGAATCGGACGCGGCAGTGGCCGCGCCATCGCGAATGAATCTGCGATTCCCTACATTGCTGCCTCCGCTGGCATCGAGGCAAACACTCATGTTTTCAAAAGCCGACCCCGGTCCATGACACACCTCAAGATCATTGCGCTGGCTGCCTCGAATCAGCCAGTCGTCTGCAGACGCGGGCGATGGCACTGCAATCCATGCCGCAAGAAAAAGTCCGCGTGGCCAAAAACAGGCTTCAACCTCTACGCCTGCATGCGCTGCCGACGCGAGCGATTCGGAGTCAGAATATGCCGCGCGCCCGCGTATCCCAGGGCAACCCCAACTCCGACGGAAGGGGGTCTCGGGCTCCACAAAACAACGTGGGCATAAGATGTCCTGTTCCCTCTTTCAAGTGCTCAGGTCGGCGGACTCTGGGCCAGGAACCGCCCGCGGCAACGGCGACGAGCAGCTCGGATAAACGATTTCCATGCGGAGCGACCAGCAGCTGTTTTAGCACGCGGCGAAAGGAGTCGTTGTCGGCCCCCCACGGCATTCCCTCGCCACAATAATGCCGGGCCGCGTTTCTCCAAAATTGGTTCCGGATGGAAATATCAAAATCGCCCAAGAAGGGCCCTGGGTCATCCTCGATCAAGATTCCCGCGAGCTCCGAAGACGGGAAATGCCGAGCCGCATGGCCTCCACATCCTGCAGCTGGGGCAGTCCAATGGGCAGGCTCGACGGGGCCCCAACCAGCCTAGATCAAAGACAAAATGGCAGCCCCCGCCGGGCCTCGAACGCATCTGCATCTCCGGCTCTCGGGGGCGCGGCGGAAACATCCAAAAAGCTTGGGCCACGCTTGGTGCGTGCCTGGCCTAATCGACGGCAGCGAAAACCACTGGCGAAACTAAAAGGCCGTGACGGGCTCGCGGCAGTGCGCGTGCTGGGCCCCCATCGAGAGCAGCGAATGTCCAGTTGAGTGGCGAAGCAGCGCCCTCTCTTCCCCGTTCCACGCGCTGCTCCTAACTGCCGTCGTGCCCCCGTCATGGCGGCGCCGAAAACGCCGTGCAATTCGTGCCCATGAAGCTGGGCCGCATGTGCGCGCGCCCGCGCCAGCTTACATGCAACGCTGCACCGTCGAGCTGCACGAGCGAAGCCTGCAAGCTCCCGATGCGCATCCTGGCCCTGCGCCTCCCGTTCGGCACGCGCTTGACCAGCGCGACGGGCGCCGTCCCCAAAATCCACCCCGAGGTAGCCGGCTTGAGATTGAGGCTTCATTTCAAAACCAGCAGCCTGAAGTTTCTGAGAGATGTGCTTCGCATGGAGCCGAAGATAATACCCTGCGGTGAAGCAGTCAACGCTTCGCGCTGCAAAACATGACACGTGTCTGAAAGCCCTGCCAACAGGGCACAGGGCTCTTCGCAGCTGATGGCGGGACGCATGCGCGCGCTGAGACAGGTCGCCAATCCAGATCCTCAAACCCATGCCTGGATGTGCTGTGGTGATCTGTTATGATATAAAATATGTCATACACCTTGCGAAACGGGTCCCACCTCCTAACCCGTGCACAATGCTGCTCGTCGTCTGTGAGGTTTCGGCAAAGGTTCCGCTTTAGCCTGCAGTCCGGGGCGTCGAACACCGTGCGGATATTTTTTTTTATATAAAAAAGCGGGCGGAAAACAAAGTCGCATGGCTGCGGGCACTAGCAGAAAACATTCCGTCGCATCGTAAAACCCCAGGATATCCAAAAGTCCACGGCCCGAGGGAACCCCCAAAACTCCAAACGCTTCCTCTTCGCAAGCTCTCACAATCATTTCGCGAAAAACAGCAGCATTTTCTAATGTCGCAGTATCCCACATTGGCTCAGACTCCGCGGTTCAAGTCTGAATCAGCGTTTCGCGTGCAAGACTCCAGAATCCCGCCACCATCGCGAAACACCCTATGGCCCTGTCGCCAGATGCTTTCTTTGGAATCGCCCTCCCTATAGTTCGAGCCATGTGAGGGTCTCCTGGATGACACTATGCAAGTGCGACAGTTCTGCGAGCGCAACGTCGGGCACGCGATCGACGTCCGCTGGGGACAAAGCATCTCCCCTCATCCCCGTTCGGGGGCGCATGGCGCGGGCAGCTTGACGAATCTCTGAAACCGTGAGAGTGCCCAGGGGATCCTGACGGGCCTCCAGAACTTCGGTTTCTTGCAAAGGTCCAGGGGGCCAGATATCTCCAACATTTTGGCCCTGGCATCCGCGATGCCCCAAGGGTGAAAGAGCGCCCTGCTGGCCAACGGTAGCTTCACCCACTGGCAGTGGGCCCCGCCGCATCGAACGGTGCAACGCTCCGGAAGCGACTGTCGTGACCATCCAGTCACGAAGCGTTGATATTGAGGCTCGCAGCGAGCGGCATCGGCAGCGAGCTGCTCCTCGCTTTGACGCCTTCACAAGATCGTCGAGCTTTTGCTGGTCTTCCGAAGCACTTGCAAGACTAAGCTTTTTCGGACTTCCCAAGTTGGATCGCCCCCCGAAGGCCCCCATGGGCCAAATCTGGTGCTTCTGCAAACAAGTTGCGACAAGCGATTTCCAATTTCGGCTGCTGAGTGTAGCTGTTTCCACGTGTCCTGTGACTGTCGAACCTCAGCAATGCCGCGCGTGCACTCTCCCGCCAAGAGGCGACCGAATCCCGATGCGGTACTAACCCACCTCCGTTTGGCACACGCTGCCCGACCACGCTGAAAACAAAACCCCTGCCCCTCGAAATCGAAAGAACGCCGTCCACGCCGTGATTATCGCGCCGTCCTCTCCGACGTCGTCACCCATGAGGCATATAGAGCCGAAGCGGGGCCCGCGGACGAAGATTCAACCCTGGCGGCTACGGGCGACGCATCTGCACGAGGGGGCGCGCGCTGATGCTCGGACCCAGCCGTCCTGGACTGGATATTAGTCTCGCCTGGGATTGAGAAACTGACCTCGTTGTTCTCCAAACCTTGGGGGGGGGGGGGGGCGGCCCCTGGAACTCGCTTGGGCGGGTGGTCGAGGCGATGCAAGCGGGCGGTGCGCCAGCATCCACAGGGGGAATCAATCCCCGTTTTTTGCTGCGGGCGCATTGGGGCGAGCGAAAACTGGCGCATCAGGATTGCAGACAAAAAACGCAATCGTCGGGCTCCACCCCGCTGGATGCATCCTCGGCACGCGCTCCGCTATCCGCGACGGCGTGGCCCGAAGGTCGCAACCTTAGCCGCTCCCAAATATTCAGGGTGCACGCTGCGCTTCGAAGACGAAGCGGGCTCCATCCCACCGGGCGCTGCTCCTGCCTACCGACCCGCCTCCACGACGGCGTGGAAGACGGTCGGCAGGACATCGGCGTCCCCCAGATCAGAGTCGCTGCCGGTGCAGGGCAAGGCATTGGGCCCCATGGCCTCGCTGGGACCTGCCTCGGACGGCCCGCCTCCCCCCGCGACGGCGCGGCCCGAGGTGCGCGCGCCTGTAGCAGGCCCCAGGGCGCCGCGAGGACTTCCGCCACTGCTTGGGGGAACAAGTGGCGGTGCTGGACCAGGATCAGCTGGGGCAAAAGCTAGACTCATCGGCCTAGGGGAACTCTCCTCTTCAAAACCTTCGAGGAGATAATCGGGGGGATCCTCGCAAAGCTGGTTTAAATCGTCGACATTCCCCACTGATCACCGTGCATTTCGCGATGCCGATCTCGACGCTTCTCTGCGGCAAGCTGGGCGGCGGCAGCGCGGTCAGCTTCATCGGCCTTTTGCGACTTGGATCCAGGCGCGAGCCCCCCGGCGGGCCTCGACGCCCGAAGCGGCTTCGCCGGAAACTCGAGGGGGCGTGCGAGAAGCCGGCGAGTCGACGATCGCATGGTTAGCTGCAACCCGCAATGCACTTTCAGAGGCGCTGCCGGCGCCGCCCGCGCCTCGACTAGGCGCGCGGCGGCGGCAAACCTTCGGGCAACATAACCGATGTGACTCCCACCCACTGTTTGAAGCATCGCACGTGCAATCGATTGGGGCCTCGACGACCTCGCCGCCAACGAGCGACGAGAAACCAGACGCGGCGAGGGCCGTCGAAAAACGTTAGAGCCCCCCACCGCGATCCAAGGGGGCTGGGGCGCGGCTAGACTGGCGCCGAGCTTCGCGAAGCGAGGGGTCTGCTCGTCGGCTAGTCCACCGGATGAAACAGTTGAAGGTTATGGCCGCGGACGAATAGCCGGAGATATGAACGACCGTCGCCGCGAAATTGACGTCCTAGAAGCAACGGCTGGGGAGCGAGAGAGTGCAGCTGAGACCGGCCAGGTGCCAGAACCCACGTCATCATGTGACCATGTCAAAACCCCTTCTAAGTCGGCGACTTGCCAGCGGCCTTGGCTGAATCGGCTGTCGACCTCAAGCAAGACTGACGGGGCTTCCGCGCCCATGCGCGCAAGGAAGTCCGAGAGACAAGAGTCTCAGCAAAGCACGCAGTCTGGTGGCTCTCATTTTTCGCGGGCCCGACGAATGAAATTCCAGGCCTTTCCCCCATGGCAGCGACGTCGCCGAATAAGGGCTGCGTGCACTCACTCTTGCCCGCCGAGTCCTGAGCCACATCTGATCAACTCGAGGCGCAGTCTGCCTTCGGTGGCTGTTGAAGATGCCGTTGGCCCTCGAACTTGGCCGCCGACAGGGTGGCGGCCTCGTCGCGAACGCGGTCGGCGCGAGGCTGCGCTGCCGCAGCGCCTGCGCGCGCGGCCTGGCCACGCTGCCACCTGAGGCTGCGGCGGCGCCTGGCTGCGAGGGAGAGCCCCGCCTCGGCTGCCGACGGTGGCGGCTGCGCGGTCGACGCCCCGTCGTCGCCCTTCCCCTTCTTGGCCAGCCGCTCGTCGATCGCCGCGCGAACCTGCCGAGCGTTCTGGAGCATCGTCGTGGCCTCGCCAGCCTTGGAGTCAAGGTCGGTCTGGGCCGACTGCAGCTCTGCGTGGATTTTGCGCGGCGTCTCCTTCTCCGACTGTTCACATTCCAAACCATCAAGGCTTGCACATATCGTGTTGTCGCGCACCAGCTCGAAAGACTTCGACGGCTTGTCCGCGCTCTTGGGCGCGGACTTCAACGTCGAGCCCTCGATCGACGCCATGGCGCGAGCTGCCTGCCGCTCGGCGATCGTCGCCATCGCAAGCTCGGCGGCCAAGCGGCCCCCCTTGAACCCTGCTGTGTCCAACTGCTTGCGGATACGAAGGACACGCTGGACCGCCATCGCGCGGCGGTAATTGACACCCCGCCAGGAACCAGCTGCGCGCTGGGGAGATTGAAGCACATCCTGAGGCTCCTGCTGATTCGCCTCCTCATGCTTGAGTTTGGTGACCTGCAGCGCCAGGGTCTCCGTCGGCCGGGGGCCCTGCGCGTTGGCAACCGCCTGCTCGAGATGGGAGCGAATAGACGCATCGCTTTGTCCGCGGGATCCGTTCTTTCCTTCGGAACCACGAGGCGTGGACTGGTTGCTAGCTACACTAGTATTGCCCTCGGCAAAGCTGACGCTCTTGATCATGCCCTTGCCCTTTCTGCGACTTCTCACCGTCGTTCTTGGGAAATCTCGGCGCGGAAAGCTTCGCTTTGCGTCCGCGTCGGTTGCATTTGCGACCTCGTTCATCGAGCTTGCCATTATACTCGAATTGCCCGCGTGCCCGGCAGGTGGACCAGGGCGCCCTGGACATGGGCACTGGACTCCTCGAATTCAGACACCACTGTGTCTCGATCAAGAAGCGGGCACTTCGAATGCCCAAGGAAAGTGGCGCGCCTCTAGCACCGCGGAAAGGTGCCGAGGTCGGACTGCGCACGGTGCCTGCGCACGGGAGGCGAAGGACTTGGTGCTCCAGCCCAAATTGCCCGAGCGGCAATTTCAGGGTGGGCCGCCGCGAGGACGGGGGCCCCCACGGCCAAGCGCCAACAGGCCGTTACTGGACACCCATCAGCCCGATGGCCCGCTTGGCCGCCTCCCGCGCCAGCCCGCCGAGGCCAGCGGGCGTGAACTGGGCGATGTCCCAGTCGCGGCCTCGCTCGTCCAGCAACGCATTGGGGGGGGCTCCGAGAACCGCCCGCGTCGACCAGGTCGAGCGTTAGGGACAGGAGGTGCATAGCTGGTTGGGCTGGGTCAATTCTGGCAAACGAGTCCGCCTGAGAATCTCCAACAGGTGATCTGGGATCTCCAAAAAATCTTCCCGCGAATCTTCAACCAATGTTGAATCGGAAATAAAATCTCCAAGAAATCTTCGCGTGTTGGAATCTCAAACGGAATCTCCAAAAAATCTTCGCCTCTTGAAATCTTCAGCGAGATCTCGGGTAAATCGCCAACAAATCTTGCCCAAGGAAGCCCGCCAACAACAAACCGATCATAACCACACAAAAACGATGTTAATTCGGCATGGAACTGACTGCGCCCGGGGCCGTGGCGCGGAAGATCGCCAGAATGCTGCTGTCCGCAATGCAACGCTGGAGGTGTCGCGGTGAAATCGAGCGCGGCCAACGCAATTGTGAGCCCACGGCCCGTCCGTTGGCGACTGCTGCAAAGCTGTAATTGAGTGGTAAGCTCCCCATCGTAAATGAGCCTTCCAATGGCATTCCGAACAAGGTGAACTCGGGGGGCCCTCAGTGGGCGCCCCGCTACTCGAACCAGGGGACGATAGCCGAACAAGCGAAGGCTGCACCCATGCGGTTTGGGCACAAATTGCTTGAACCAAGATGGCAAAACAAGAGGAGGAACAAGAAGGGAAGGGATGGAAAAAAAACACGGAGGAAGAGGAGGAGGAGGAGAAGGAGTTCCCCACGCCCGCAAAACGTACGAACCCAGGACACATCTGCTCGTCACCGTTTCTGACAACCGAGAGCAATGCGTATCAGAGATGTGCGTTGACTGGCAGACAGACGACGACATGCAGATGGTGGAAAAGCTAGGAACAGTTCCGGCATCCACGCAAAGAGGATAACTTCAAAATGGTGTCTGGTATCCCGGTGTCCTCAGCAGCTCTCGCAAACCGTAGCCGGCGGGGAGACCAATTCCGAATCTTGCGGCCCACGCTTATTCCACCCTGGGGCGGACCGGCCCGATGCGGATATGAATTGGCTTTCCGTCCGAAGCGCCCTTGGGAAGTCCAACAGCTATCGGGTGCCACGGCAACGAAAAACTGGACTTACCAAATGACGCATGCGGGCGGCAGCGCTGGGGCCTTCGGTAGAGCTTCCTATGGGGCCACGAAACGTGTGAGGGGTGTGCCGAATTGGGCGTGCGTGACGCATGCGGGCGGCAGCACTGGGGCCTTCGGCGGAGCTCCCTATGGGGCCACGAAGCGTGTGAGGGGTGTGCCGAATTGGGTGTGCGTGACGCATGCGGGCGGCAGCCCTGGGGCCGGCTTCGGTGGCTTTTCGTATGGGGCCACGCGCCCGCCGAAAAAAACGGTGTGAGGGTGGTGCCGAAATGGTGTGCTTGAACGCATTGCGGCGGCAGCACGGGGCCCTTCGGCGGAGGCTCCCTTATGGGGCCCACGATGCGTGGTGAGGGTGTGCCCGGTGGGGTTGTGCGTGAACGCGTGGCGGCGGCAAGCAACTGGGGCCTTCGGGCGGGCTCCCTAGGGGGCCCACGAAACGTGTGAGGGGTGTGCCGAAATGGGTGTGCGGGACGCATGCGGACGGCAGCCATGGGGCCTTCGGTGGAGCTCCCTATGGGGCCACGAAACGTGTGAAGGGGTGTGCCGAAATGGGTGTGCGGGACGCATGCGGACGGCAGCACTGGGGCCTTCGGTGGAGCTCCCTGTGGGGCCACGAAACGTGTGAGGGGTGTGCCGAAATGGGTGTGCGGGACCCCCAATGCGGGCGGTGCGCTGTGGCTTCGCGGAGCATGCCATGGGGGGCCACGAAACCGTGGGTGGGGATTGGTGGGGCCGAATTGGTTGTGCGTGACGCTGCGGGCGGCAGCACTGGTGCCTTCGGCGGGGCTCCCTATGGGGCCACGAAGCGTGTGAGGGGTGTGCCGAATTGGGCGTGCGGGACGCATGCGGGCGGCAGCACGGGGGCCTTCGGTGGGGCTCCCTATGGGGCCACGAAACGTGTGAGGGGTGTGCCGAATTGGGTGTGCGTGACGCATGCGGGCGGCAGCACTGGGGCCTTCGGCGGAGCCCCCTATGGGGCCACGAAACGTGTGAGGGGTAATGGCCCCAGGGCTCTGTGCCGTGAAAAAAAACAACACAATCGGGGCGGCGCACTGGGGTTCTTTCGGGCGGAGCTCCCTATGGGGCCACAAACGTTGGGTTGCGGGGTGTGCCGCCGAAATGTGTGGGCGGAACGCATGCGGGTGGCAGCACTGGGGCCTCGGCGGAGCTTCCCTAATGGGGCCCGAAAACTTTGGGAGGGTGTGCCCGAAATTGGGTGTGGGCGTGACGCATGCGGGCGGCAGCACTGGGGCATTCGGCGGGAGTCTTCCCTAATAGGGCCACGAAACGTGTGAGGGTGTGCCGAAGTGGGTGTGCGTGACGCATGCTGGCGGCAGCAAGGAGGAGGCAGCGGGAGGAAGGGAGGAAGGAAGGAGAACGCGGGGCACCGTCTTTTCAAAACGAAGACCCAACACCACAGGATGGTTGGAAACAAAGGGGGATACGACGAGCAGGTGGGCGAAGAGGAAGAAGGGAAGGAAGAGTGAGGAAGAGGACAATAACGAGAAGACTGGGGAAGATGAGCACGAAGGGGAGCACGAGGAGGAGGAGGAGGAGGAGGAGGAGGAGGAAGAGGAGCAGGATGACAAGCAGAAGGAGAAGAAACAAAAGGATGGGAAGGAGGGCCACGACGACGAAAACGGCGACGACGACGAGGAAGAAAAGGAGGAACAGGAATACGTAGGCAGACAGGATGGCGAGGAGGAGGAGGAATAGCAGCAGCCCTCCTCTTACGCCTCCTGCTCCCCCCATTCGTGCTCGGTCCCATTCGTGGACCTGGGCCACCGATCCTGGGCCGCCCGGCCCCGTGCTCTCTCGGCCCCAGGCTGGCCCGGGGACTCTGGCCCCGTGCTCTCGGACCCAAACACACCCCATAGGAAACTGCCTGATGAGGAGGACGCATATGGGGGCGTTGCCTAACAGCGGGGCCCATAAGGGGCGATACATCAAGGGGGGGCCCAGGGGAACCCAGAAGGAGGGCCCATGAAAAGGGTATCGATCGCGGGCAAACATGAGGGGGGGCATTTGGAAGGATCGATTGGGGGGGCATACGGGCAGGCCAACCTGCGCACCTTCATTGGGAAACCACAAGGTCAATTGATGGGAGGCAATGTCCTCGTGCAACGCATGGGGGCATACTTGGGGGGACAGTCAGTAGCCAGTGGGGGCAATCTATTGGAAGGTACCCGTGGGGCCAAGCCATTGAGGCAATCTGTTTTGGGCACTTTCCTGAAGGCAACCCATGGGGGCACTTGCGGGGGCGACATGGGGCGACCTAGGCCAACCACTGGCGGCCCAACCCATGATGGGGGCAGCATCCAATGGGGGGGCAAACTATGGAAGGGCGCCCTCCCACGGGATAACCTGTGGGCTGTGGGCGAGGGGAGGGGGGGGGCAACCTATGGGGACAACCCATGGAAGCAACCAACAAGGCATACCGAGGGCAACCTGCGTGGCCAACCTGCTGGGACACCCTGCGGGGGCAGCCTATTATGGCAACCCATGGGGAGCATCGCACATGGGGAAGACTCCCAAGGGGGCCACCCTCACGGCCATCCATGGGGGGCTCGGGGGGGCCCCACGGGGATCGACCGATGGACCCCCCCGGAGGGCAAGCTCCGGGGGGGGGAAC